GTCTAGCGCCATTTTGGTCCACGGGAGGAACTGTCTGGTGAGAATCTTGATGAGTTGGTACGGTTCTATCTAGAGGTAGGAGGAGAAAAGCAAATGGGTTCGATGGAAGGAAAAGGCAGGCTACACAGTCTCCAAGCAGGATTCCCTCAGATCCCCAGTTCTTTCTCAGTCCCTCTCCCTCCTCCTGAGATGGCACTTGTTGGCTTACATTGGTATGGGTTGTGGGAGGCATGTACTCGGCTTCATTTCATGGAAGAAAAGTGGGCTGCTGGTAATATGCCAGTGCAGATTTTCAGATTAGGCGCCCTCTTTTTTTTTTTTTTTTTTTTTTTTTTTTTTTTTTTTTAGCGATGCTTTTTAGAGCAGAGAGGCAATTCGAGGCAGCTCGCATATCTGTACTGACACCACAGACATCAATGCTAATTCATCTCATCTGGTACTCGTGCATTCATGTATTCATGTAGTCAAGGGACGCTGGACCCGTTCTCCAGCACGTGATACTCCCCACCAATAGATGGAGCTGTTTGTGTTAATAAAAAAAAGAAAGAAAAAAAAAAGGGGGCCCTTACCCCGCTCGGCGTGAAAAAAAAAGCCACCCACCAGGCTGGAAAAAGGTGTCCAGCATCCCATTCATCCGCTATCATTCACTATGATTGACGTAAACAACTAATCGTTAGACCTACATCTAGATAGAGAACACAAGCCCACGGAATAAGATAAATGAACATAGAAGCCAGCACAAAATCTCCATCCTTTTTATTTTTTTTTCCTTCTTCAACGTTGCTGAGGCTCCGTCTTTTCGTTGGGAGGCAGAGCTCTCTCTGCAGGGATTGTATTGATTGAGAGAGTTGCAAAGCACAAGTATACAGAAATACAAGTTGATCGCCAACTGGAAAATCAAGTAGTACACTTTCGCATTGAGCATCAGGTACGAACTCTGTCCCCGGCAGGTATGGCACCCCGACCGGTTTCGACCGCCGCCACGCGGTCTTCTTCAGGGGGAACAGCCTTCTTCTCCCAAAACAGTTCCGTCCGTCCACTAGCCGACCAGATTCTGCGTACCTCTCTGCAGGGGCCATGCTAATATTGTCCATATTTCCAACTCTTTGCCGTGATGGCTGAAGGGCCACATTGCCTTGACTGTGCATGTTCATTCTAAGAAGGCATGAAACTAGCCGCAAAAATGGCAAGATTCGTCTTTCTAAGCACAAACATAGCACCGAGGGGGTCTGAACTTTGTACCTCTAATTGAAGATTTGGTTCTGCGTGCAAGTCTCATATGTACCGAGGGCGGCGAGGGGGTCCCATATGTATGGGTATCCCTTCAGATAATGTACAATGGGCCTGTGTGCTACAAAAGGCAGACAAGACAAGGGACATTTGCGCAAAGTAACTAGAGACAACGGGGGAACCAACAACTGTGATATCTGTCCTGGGACTATTCCCACACACTATAGTATATGTTACATTGGACTTGGAGAAGCAGTTGAGCTATATTATGTCAGAAAACCTACCTGTTCAATCTGTCTACACTAGGACTCAATCTACCAGGGGAGCTCATAAAATCCAAGTAAAACACTGCGCGAGTTCTCATTCAGGGCCTCGCTCCACTACACAACACTCAGCTGTACATGCATTTGGACGCTTTAGGGACCAGGGGCATTTGAACGATTCCAACGTTGTGAATGTATCCGGTCAGGAAAGTGTCCAAATGCATGTCCAATATTGTGTAGAGCGGAGCGAGTTCTCATACAGGAGAGAACGCACTCTTGGAATGAAAAAGAATGGCTTCGACCTTCTACACTGGAAAGGAACACTCTCAAAAAAGGTTATGGGTTTACGACATTGAAAACCAGTTTACCAGTTTCTGATCATGCTACCGTCCTCACCGAAATAGAACGCCTGGTCATTATCCATGTATCTAGACTGGAAGTTGCCCCAGATACAGCTATAGTGACCAGACGTTCTATTCAAGTGAAGACGGTAGGCTCTGGAAAAGAGAGGATGATCCGACTGTCCGAGTCAGGAGATGGGTTCCAAATACCACTACGTAATGACCATTATGTAGACACTACCGGTATGTATAGCCAGTATGTACATACACCCTATGTATAGCCAAAATCTATAGCCACTCTGTATAGACACTATGCATAGCCACTATGTATAGATACTTTGTATAGCCACTATGCCTAACCACTCTTTAGAGATGCTATCTATATCCACTCGGCGAGTACCATCGCTCTCAACGCACTTCTCCGAGAAGAGCCATGTATATAGGTGTCCTCAAATTACTGGCTCTGTCTGGGAAAGGGCTACCGAGCATGTATGGCCATAGAAAAAGGACTAATATGTAAAATCCACATTTAATCCAGTACATTCTACATATTATGTGTGGAGCCTCATGTAGAAGCCCTTTCAGACTATGTTTCCAGAGCTGATTCCACAGGGCTGTCGAATAGTCTTGTAGACTCCACACTGTACTCTCTCTCTCTCTCTCTCTCTCTCTCTCTCTCTCTCTCTCTCTCTCTCTCTCTCTCTCTCTCTCTCCATCCATCCACGTAAACAAAGCCTCAGTGGTGGTACGGATCCTTGCGTCTTTACTCGAAACACGTTGTTTGCTTCTACAACAGGGGGATGACGGGTCAGGGGGGATTACCTTTTTTTTTTTTTTTTTTTTTTTTTGGAGAAAAAGCTCCAATTACCGTGAGTTTGTTGGATGCCAAAAAGATAGATATGAGGAAAAAGCAGGCTCCGCAGTCACAAATCTCGAAAATAAATGAATAAATAAAAATCTCAATCCTATGTATTATGCCGAGGATTGAGCAATTATACGCTCCATCCGAGAAGACATAGACTCATAGAGTTTGCAGATCCATGCAGTGGCCTTCCGGACGTCCTACTCACAGTGGCAGTTTGAGCGTCTTTGCTCATGATATGGGAAGGGGAAGGGGACAGAGTCGGGTTCAAAAGGGGTGTAAGAGAAATGTGAAAGAGCAAACACAGAAAATTGTTGTCCAACGACGAAAACATGCAGGTAGTTTCTTATACAACATGCCATCCATGGCTCGAAAACCTCAAAATACCTGAAACAGAGAACATGATGCATTAGACACAAGGCGAGTTTCACACGATCACATAAAGATCATCACTCATGCACCCACGCATACCCAAGATAGACTGGAGCGGCTGGCGGATGGGTACTAGGGGGGGATGCTCTTATCACCCTGTCTAGTACAATGAGCCCCCCCAAAAAAAGATGTGTATAAGAGACAGACATTGTCCTTTTCCAGTGTCAGATGGAGAGGAGCGAGGAGAGGATTCGCGCACGGCGGAAGAGGACGCTGCAGTCCACGAATGTGGAGGGGGAGGACAGTGGTGCCATTTGCGACGCTGTGCTGCAGGTGTGCTACGCCATGGGGTGTGGAGCATTCCCCAGAGCGACGCCCAGGTGGTGAATGAAGTGACGGACAGGCGGGACGTGGGAGGATCTTTGGGAATGCGACAATGCGACGGTGGACTACTTCAAGGACAAGTAGCGGCAACCTCCGAAAGACGTCGGTCATGAAACGCACGTGGACGATGCCAACAACTAGAAGACGAACGTGGACGTCCAGGAAACGGCGAGGGTCAGTGGCGCAAACGGCCGATCGCAGCTACCGACAAAAGCAGGGTAACGTATTCCCTTGCGGAAGACACTGCGCAATCGGGAGAGCGTGGGCGGGCTGAAGTATTCGAATCAGCCGACCGTTGGGCGCTTTCCCGCTACTGCCGAAGGGCAGCGACGCAAGGCAGCCCCTTTTCGACGTCGCGGAGGACGGCAGGGCGCCAAAGAGGACCGTTGGCGGAGTATTCCATGACGCCGACCGTTGCCAACCGGAGATGTCCGTCCACGGGCCGCCAGGAACAGCAATGGACCAGCCGCGTCAAAAATTGTCGTCGAGAGAGCTGTCGTCGACGCCCCAATTCTTCCGGATGCTCGACCTCCAAGGGACCTCGGGAGGTCCCTTGGGGAACGCGTTGAAATGGCTGTAGCCCGAGGAATCCCTGAGGAATCCCCGAGGAAATGTTTTCACATTTTTTTCTTCGTTTTCTTCCCCGAGGATAAGTGGAACGATGATTTCCTCAGGGATTTTATGCGCCCGAGGAGTGTCGAACGAGCCCCTAACTGACGCCCTCTACTCTCCCACCACAGACCTAGCTGTATATTTATAACGATGACCCAGAAAAAACGACAACTCTGGGTCTGTGCATGTTTTCTTTCATCTGTTTTGCGTTTTTGTTTGGGTTTCCCACTCAAGCTCCANTCTCTCTCTCTCTCTCTCTCTCTCTCTCTCTCTCTCTCTCTCTCTCTCTCTGTGTGTGTGTGTGTGTGTGTGTGTGTGTGTGTGTGTGTGTGGGCTTTGTGGTGCTTTCAGACACTTTTCTTCAGCAGAAGACCGGAGGCTTTGGCTGATTGCCATTCCCTGACAGTCTCCATCACTCAATGTGCCATCTCTGGACAATCATCCATAACTATCTGTGCAAGCTCAATTGCAGTTGACTGCAACTCTTAGTGATATCATCAGATTCATCACCATGATTAAGGAGGCAAGTCCAGCCTCAACTACCTACCGACCAAGAAAACCGGATAGTTTCCTCACTTTGTTCGGACACTTTTCTTCAGCAGAAGACTGGAGGCTTTGGCTAATTGCCATTCCTTGACAGTCTCCATCACTCAATTTGCCATCTCTGGGCAATCATCCACAACTATCTGTGCAAGCTCAATTGCAGTTGACTGCAACTCTCAGTGATATCATCAGATTCATCACCATGATTAAGGAGGCAAGTCCTGTGCAAGCTCAATTGTAGTGGACTGCAACTCTCAGTGATATCATCAGATTCATCGCCATTCTACCTCACAGTTGAGATCGTAAGAAAGGTGTCGAAAAGCTCACAACTTGTACTCAGATGAATTGTGTAGTCGAGCCTCTAGCAAAACTATGGAAGGCTGAGTCATATTTGTGATTAAACTTGTTTTATCAGAAAAATAGTCGATGTTGATTGAATCCTGGAGTTGGAAGTTCCAAGTGTTGAAGTGTTTCGCCCCGCATCTCCAAAATCGTATCTTGTAAGCAAAACAGTTGCTTGAGCTATCTAGTTGCGTAGTTGGAGGGTGTCTCATCGACTCTCAAGCTTGTGTCTTTCCACATCCTCCCACTTGTATCTGCAATTAAAAACACAGTTGGGCTTAAAGACTTGAACTTTTTCAACTGCAAGTCACAAGTTCACAAATTCACGAAATGGGTTAAAAATGCAGGTGAGCATAAAAAGTTAAAAAACCGAACTTTTTCATCCACAAGTAACAAGCTCCGAATGCCGAGGGAATGGTGAGCATAAAAAGTTAAAAACCCGAACTTTTTCATCCACAAGTAACAAGCTCCGAATGCCGAGGGAATGGTAATTGTGGTTGGCCGATAGTGAACAGAGGGAAGTTGCTGGAGTCAGTGGCGTGTCAACGTTGGTACAATATGAAATGACTGGAAGTCTGGAAGTGAGGTTGAAGGACGGGAATCGTGATGCAATACAGATTCGTGGAACCTGACTCTTCATGGCTGTGTGGCCAACATTCGCCTTTCTGCATCCTCCAATACCTTGAATACCCTCCACTCGTGTTTCTTTTGCGCAATATCAGAAGCACTCGCATCCTTATTATTACGCAGCATAGGATTGGCTCCACGCTGCAGAAGAAACTCTGTCAAACTCAAATGCCCCCTGAGCGCCGCACGCATTAAAGCTGTGAACCTGGTACATGGGCAAAACAAGGGAAAAAAGGGTGGGGGGGGAAACAGTTAGAAACACTAGTGAAAAGAAAAGACATAGCCGAAGTCCTCAATGAAATTGGGTGCAACAATGCAACAAATATCCTTGAGAGTTGTGATTTGAAACAAGTATCCACGAGGCAGGTTTTGAGTTTGCAAAGGCAAAAAGAACACGCGCACGCAAAGATATCACGGTGCGAGTTTGAAACAGCAATTTCGGTACAAAAGAATCCGTTGGGCCCTTTTTTTTGGGGGTAACTACGTGGCGGTCACAAAAACAGTTCGACATTGCACTTCAGGCATTCCCCCGAACATAACAACCCCCCTCTTGACCGCAGTGGACCAGAAAGCTAGCTTGTATACATCTTACATTTTCCGGCCAAATGGCCGAAGTGCAGCTTCAAACTGTTTTCGTGACCGCGACCGTTGCCACGTAGTTTCCTTTATATATATATATACAGGGTCACCAGCCCGTACGTACGGAGGTCCCTGGGCAGACTTCCGTACGTACGGGCGTTCGGGGTCCCGTACGGGGTCCGAACCCGACGGCGTTCGGCCCCCGCCAAAAAATATTTCGGGGCCTAAAAATAATTATTCTTTTCTGATTTTTTTTTAATGAGTTCTCTAGGACGTGAGGTACATGCCTGTAAATTTTCAAGTCATTTGGCTAAGCCAAATAAGAATTAAAAATCGTCAAAGATGGCGGTGTCAAAACGTGCTCGCCCAC